GCGAGGCATCTGGCCACTTCAGCTGGAGTTCGCGGCCCTCCACCCGCTCTCCTCTCCTCGTTCCTGCTCCCGCCTTAGGATCCCCACGGAGGGCCCGCCGGAGACGAATAGGAGACCGGCCGGCGCGCACCGGGACCTCGGCATCGTCACACGACCTTCCCAGCTGGGCGTCCTTCTCTCAGGCTCTGGCTTGGGACCGGCCCTTGGGCCTGGGCCGTCGGTGCCAGCCGCGTCCAGGGTTCTCCCGCTTTCCAGAGCCCTATATAGAGTCGGCCAGGACATATAGCCCTTTCCAGCAAGAGCCATTGACACCCCTGGGTCATCACCCTGAGACTCCATCCCGTGCCAACTTGTCAAAGCCAGGTCATTGCTTGGTCACTGTGTGCTTTGCAGGTCCTGGGGACGGCCCCTTGGAGCCTGTCCTACCCCCGCCCTACCCCAGTGGGCTTAGGTCAGCTTGTGCCTTAGTATCTTGGGCCTACTGCAGGAGCCAGCCACCCGTCCCCTTGCTGTCTGGGGGTCTGTGGCCCTGAGACCGGCCGGCTTGTGTGTGCTTCTAGCCAAGTCCCTCTGGGGACACCTCTCCCCCGCCCAGAAGCTTTGCAGGAATGTAGGGCGAGAATAAGCAGTGTCGTGTGTTTTCCTGTGTGGGTGTCTGACAGGCCCAGCGTCCAGCTGCTGCGTCCAGGGGTGAGTGTCCTCTGCCTTGGGGAGGCTGGGGGTTCTCCAGGGCCAGACCCACCCTCCTTTCCTTTTGTGAGTGCTGCTTCTGACTAGAACCTTCTGTGGGGAGTAGGGGCAGATGGCTTGGGGGACAGCATTGGACCCCCAGGGCATGGTAGATGCCAGCCTCCCCCAGCCGGACCTTCCGTTGTGGTCTAGATGCCAAGCCTCGTCCAACCCCGGGGACCTCAGTAGCCATGGTGTGACCGACAGCACTACCCTCAACCCTTTGCACGCTTGGGGGTTGGGAGCCCAGGATCTGGTGTCGGTGGTGCTGCCCACTCACCCACTGTGGACTGAAGGCTGGCCTTGCCCGCCACCAGGCAGACCCGAGCACCCTGGCCAAGGTTGTTTCCTGCAACGCCACCTAGTGATGTTGGGTATCTGGAGACAGTGGCACTGCCTGGCTCTGACCACCTGAATTTGGCCCTACCAGCTCCTGGTCACAGTGGCTATAACCTTCCTTCCACCCCAGCAACCACCAGCGACCCGGGCCCTGCTGGTGCCCCCGCAGCACTTACACCCTACCTCTCTGTGTCTTAGCTCTGCCCGCCTCCGCGTGGCGCGGGTCAGGTGTGAACCTGGCACCGATGTTTAAATGTCCATTGTTCTCAGACCAGAAATGCTGTCTTGTGTGTTTATTTGGGAAGTAGGATGGAATGGTGCAGGGTTGGGGTAAGGAAGAGGTGGACCCCCCCTTCTCCCCAGCTCCTCCGAGGTCCTGGAGCATCAGCCCAATTGGTGGCCCTGAGCAACACCGGGGCTGGCCCCAGGCAGGGGCACAAGCACATGGCCCTTGAAGGTTCTGACAGGAGGACAGCAGGGGGTCCTACTGCTTGTCCACCCTCAGACCTCCGGAAAGCATCTCTTCCTGGGCCAGCTGTGTGGGGTGGGGGTGGGGGAGGCGGCACCTGCTGCAGTTAGAAATAGCCTCGTCGTCTCATGGGTGACCCACTTGAGCTGTGACAAGCAACAATTAGGCAGCTCCAGGAGAGGGCCTGCTCCCCCGCCTGGGGCCTCCCTGTGCAGTGATAGAGGTGGGGGCTGGGCAGCAATGGACAGATGAGTCTGGGACTCATATGTGTGCCCTGTACAGAACACCACCCGCCTCCCCACCTGGGCTGTCCTTGAGACACCCTGGTAAGGAAGTGACCTCAGAGAAGCAAAAGCGGTTGGGGGGTGGGATGTGGTGAGCCAGGCTCTGGGGAGTGACTCATCCTGGGGGGGCATGCAGCCATGTGTCTAGACAGTGGGGGCAGGAGCAGGAGGGGGTTCCGGTTCCCTCTGCCTCTCATTCTGGCCGCCTGGAAAGTGTGTTCAGTTCTCAGATCTCCCAGGGAGCACCTGGCCGCATCCCGTCCTGGGTGCCTCAGCATCCAGCCTCTGGCTCCTTGGGCACTGTCAGGTTCCAGGGCTGGGGTTACGTGGCCCCTCGTGGAGCTGCTATGAAGTTCTGTGAGGCCCCCCTGGCCCTAGACCTGATTTGGACTTCTGATTGTGGGCTTGGGCTCATGGCAGCAAAAGCCATAGGCCTGTGCCAATATATATATATATTTTTGGCAGCTGGCTGGTATGGGGACCTGAACCCTTGACCTTGGTGTTATGACACTGCGTTCTAACCAGCTGAGCTACCCGGCCAGTCCAGGCCTGTCCCAATTTTGAGGGGCTTCTCAGAGGCCGGAATGTAGCTCTGGGCTTGCAGAGATGTGGCTGGAGCACCTCGGGGACGGGTTGGAGCTGGTGTCTAGGCCAATGACGATGGTTTCTGAGCTCACCATTCCCACAAACTGCTCCTTCCCCAGATGGCTGCCTTTTGGCCTGGCATCACCACCCTCCATCCTCCCAGGGGCACAGGGACCTCCTGGCACCCTTCTCCCCCTGTCCACTTGAAAGGCTGACGGTGCACCTCCAAGGCTCATCCAGAACGTTCCCGTTCCCTCCAGCCCCACCACCTCCTGCAGTAGTAGCCTCTCTCTCCCATGGTGCTCTGCTGTCCTTTCCACGGCTCCTGCCTCTGTGTGGTCCAGGCCGGAGTGGAGTGGGTGGGTCAGTGTGTTGGTCTCCTAGTAACACCTTGATGGCTGCCCTCTGCCCTGGAGGAGAAGTTCAGATGGTTCCATTTGGTGCCTGAAGTTTTTTTTTCTTGGCAGCTGGCCGGTGCAGGGATTGAACCCTGGACCTCGGTGGTATCAGCACGACGCTCTATGAAGTATTCAAGCTTATACTTTTCCAACGTGGAGTGGGAGTAATCTTTGATTCTGCAACACTGTTGGCTACCTGGGCTGTCATCCTGACTCTGCCTTTTAAGAGCCGTGCAGCCTGTCAGTGCCTCAGTTTGCTCATCTGTAAAATGGAAACTGTAATAGGACCCAACTCACAGACCAGCGGGGTGGAGATGAATAAATCGTAGCTATTGACATTACTGTCCATGCCACGGCTTGAACTGCCCTCTGGGCCAAGACCCCAGAGCTGCGTCCCCAGACTAACCCTCCTCCATACTTGTGGCCCTTCTTGAAATGTCCATTGCGATTGCTCAGGGCATCTTAACCCTTCTGTGTTCAGGACAAGACCCCTGACCTCCCTGTCCACCTCCTGGGCCTGATCCACAGCACGTCCTATCTTGGCCAACAGGAAGGGTGCTCTGTGAGGTGAAGGCGCCCACGTGCCCAGCCATGGCTCACTCTCCCTTTCCACCAGGCTGGTGGTGGGGCTCCAGGCTGCCTACAAGAAACATCCCACCGGGCTGCTAAGCTGGGAAGGGGCAGCAGGCAGAGACAAACAGAGGGAAATAGGGGCTGTGGGGCTGGTATCTCCCTTGTGATCTTAGGATTGGGGGTCAGGACTGTTGAATTTGGTCTTCAGGGATAGCCAGAGTTGCTGCTAGGAACCTTGGCCTGGGAAGCGAGGCATCTGGCCACTTCAGCTGGAGTCTAGAGAGAGCCCTGGGTACCTGACACTCCCTCCAGCCTTGGCCATATCTCTCTGGGTACTGGAGGTGAGCCCTCAGCCGGGGAGTGATGCAGCCATGCCGGAGGGGAGGCAGGTTCCACCCCAGGAGTGTTTGAGGATCAGCCGGCCGCCCCCCGTGTGCTCTAGGCACGCCTGCGTACCCCTGCCCCGGGTCTGCTCCTCCAGCTCCTTCAGGGATCGCTGCTGTTTCTAAGTTGTGTCAGACTTCCTCCCCCAAGTCCTCATTCCCCCAATCGTCTCATTTAAAAAGGTTTTCCTTTCGGATGCAGGCTATTTCATAACTTCTATCATTTTTCTAACTCCTGTTAGCTTTTTGCAAGATATCTGGTTAAAACGTTCATCTGTTTTCTGGGCTCCCTTTGTTGGGATATTACTATGTGTGTTATTTTTTTCTTACAGGAAATCTCTGTGGGATTCAATCACTACCCTCCTGTGTTGGTCACATTTGTTGCAGGTGGGCTTTCCTGTGCTCTTGGGTGGGGACTGGGTGGGTCTTGGAAGCTTCCTTCACTTCCCAGCTCCAAGGAGCCCCTCTGCTGTTGTCACTAAGTGCTAACACTTAGTCCCCCTCCCCAACTTTTATCTGGCCCTTCTCTTTCCTTTGCCCCTGGTGACTCTCTCCTGCTCAATTTGTTTTCGTTTTTTCATTTCCATCTTTTTATTAAGAGGTACATAACACACTGCATAACCTTCTACAAGACTTACTTTTCTTTTTTTTTTTTTGTGACTGGTAAGGGGATCGCCACCCTTGGCTTGGTGTCGCCCGCACTGCGCTCAGCCAGTGAGCGCACCGGCCATCCCTATATAGGATCTGAACCCGCGGCAGGAGCGCTGATGTGCTCCCAGCACCGCACTCTCCCGAGTGAGCCACGGGGTCGGCCCTACAGGACTTACTTTTCATCAGTCATGAAAATGCTTCCCTAACCGATGTTCTCCAAACCCTTTGACGCACAGGAACTCCAGCAATGTGCCTGTCTCCCTCTGGCAAACTCCACTGATGCGGATGACGGGCAGCCCTTTTTCCCTTGTCCCTGTCTGTAAACCTGTGGATGTACGCCATGGCCACTCCTAGGATAAGCAAGCACGCGCCCATTGCGGCCTCTCCGCGGCGAATCTCGAACCACATCTCCACAGTTACCTGGGCCAACGCCCTAAAGGTGAACAGATTTGGCTTCTTTCCCAGAAAGCCCCACGGCAGCCCGCCAGCGGGACAGTGTCACATCTGTCTCTATGCTGCTTGGTTTGGACTCGAGTCCAGTGGCTTCTCCCCATACCCGTTCCCTCCATCCCCTCATAGGCTACCATACTAGGATACATCTGGGTTTTGTTTAAGTTTTTATTTTTTTCTTTGTCATTATACCATGTAAACATTTTTCGTGGCCCTTTACCAATTTCTCCCTAAGCCTCCCTCCCCGTCCCACTGTTTTTTATTTTATTTATTTTTATTTTTAATATTTTTTTTTATGACTGGTAAGGGGATCGCAACCCTCGGCGTGGTGTGGACCACGCTCAGCCAGTGAGCGCACCGGCCATCCCCATATAGGATCTGAACCTGCAGCCTCAGCGCTACCAGTGCTGCACTCTCCCGAGTGAGCCACAGGGCCGGCCCTCCCACTGTTTTTTAATTTCCCTCAAAATCATGCTGTTCACCTACTACTTTTTACTTTTCTTTTTTCTCAACACCGTGTTTTTGGGGCATGTCCATGTAGCTGTGCACACAGGTATCTTGTCCTTCCGTGCACTGGGCACCATTTGTGTCCTCACCCCTGGGAGGGACGTGCCCTGTCAGCTGCAGGACTCACCACTATGCTGTGATGAATATCCTCACACGTGCCCCTCAGGTACCTGAGCAAAACTTTCTCTAGGTGAAGGATGGACGGGTTTTAGGGGTATGCATGCTCAATCCCACCCATATCGTCAGTTTGTTCTCAATGGCTAAAGCATTCAGTACTCCTACTAGCAGAGCTGGTGGGTTCTTGTTTCCCCAAATTCTAACATTGTGAATCATTCAGTTTTCTAGATTTTGCCAATCTGGTAGCCGTACGGTGGTGACCCGTTTTTCTTTGAATTTGCTTTCCTCTGATTACTGGAGAGGTTGTGCAGTACTCAACACTCCTATTAGCCATTCTAATTGCTCCTTGCAAGAACTGCTTGCAAATATTCTTTGTACATTTTCCACTGCAATGACTTTTTCTTCTTAATTTTCAAGAGGTCCATGAATATTCTAGAGCAGCACTGTCCAACAGAACTTTCTGAAATTACAGAAAGTTTCTATATCTGTGCTGTCCAATATGGCAGCTGTAGTAAGTTTCCTGGAGCTATTGTAACAAGTTACCAAAAACTGCATGGCTGGCCGGCCCGGTGGCGCACTGTAGCACTTGGGAAGCGCGGCGGCGCTCCCGCCGAGAGTTCGGATCCCACATACAGACCGGTTCCCGCTCGCTGGCTGAGCGAGGTGCGGGAAGCAACACCGAGGGTTGCAATCCCGTTGCCGGTCCCCGGTCCGGTACGGGCGCGACACTGAGGGTTGCGAACCGTTGCCGGTCATGAAAAAAGACAAAAAGGAAAAAAAAAAAAAACTGCATGGCTAAGACAACAGAAATTTGTCCTGTCACTGTTCTGGAGTCTGAAATGAAGGTGTCGGCAAGGCTGGTTCCTTCTGGAGGCTCCCAGAGTCTTTTCTGTGCCTCTCTCCAGCTCCTGGTAGCTGCTGGTGATCCTCAGCAATCCTTGGGTGGTAGATGCATCTCTCCAATCTCTGCCTCCACGGTCGCATGGTGTTCTGTGTGCTTCTGTGTTCAGATCCCCTTCTCCTTTCTTTTACAAAGGCAACTGTAATACAGGAAAAAACTAAAGTGCTGGTATTTTTATTATTCCCTCACTCAACAGTCAACACTCTGTAACCCCAGATGACTTTTCACTCATGTGAAAGTGATACCCGTTTGGTAGAAGCTGTACTGAGTTCCCACACAACCATTTAGTTTCATTTTCAGTACAGTATTCAATAAACTACATGAGATATTCAACATGTTATGATGAAGTAGGCTCTGTGTTAGATGATTCTGCCCAACTGTAGGCTACTGTAAGTGTTCTGAGCATGTTTAAGGTAGGCTAGGCTAAGCTATGATGTTTGGTAGGTTAGGTGTTGAAGGAAAGCAAAATATTTCAGCCCAAAATATACTACTTTGACATATCTCAAGATGGCTATTCAGAGGGACTGGAAACAAAAGAATAGCTAAAAAGCTGCCTTTTGTGAGGGAGGTTTGCATCAGTAGAGAAAACTCTGTATTGGTGAAATAAATAGCCAGGCTTCCTCTGAGGCCTCCCTCCCCCTTGTCCACCACCTGTTCTTTCCGAGGGCAGCTCCCAGACCACCTGCGATATTGTCATCTGCATAACAAGGCTGCCCTTGCTTGACTGCTCTCCTCCCTTCACCTGTGACACTGCCTCCCCTGAACCCAGACAAACTTGGCCCAGCACTCACGCCCACACCCCCACCTCCCCTCAGAAGAAGAGTGCTGGAGCTCCTGACCCTCTGGGCTATCAGCAGGCACTGCTGTGCAATTCCCCCACTCACGGCTGTGCTATGAACGTTAACAGAAAATTTGTCCTGCCTTTTCTCCCACGGATCTCCCTTTTGTCAGTTGATTTTCAGTAAACCTTCAGGGGGTGAAGGGTGAATTTAATACACACTTTTGGTCCCTAAATTCTATTAAATGCATTTTTGACATGATACTTTCCACTTACCATGTGTTTATTGAGACGTAGCCCCATCATAAGTAGAGGAACATCAGTGTATATATGAGGGGTCTTCAAAAAGTAAATCCTCCCAAGGAAGGATTTGTATTATCTTTTAATTCGATTTTTTCAGTTACTTTTTGGTTTGGTGGCTGGCTGGTGCAGGGATCTGAGCCCTTGACCGTGGTGCTACAACCCTGTGCTCTAGCCCGCTGAACCACCCACCAGCTACCACTCACTTTCTTTTGTTGTTTTTCTTTTTATATTTTAAAATTTCTTTTAAAATTTAAAAATTTTTTTGCTTGCTTTTTTTGTTTGTTTTTTTCCTTTCCCATTTGCTTTTTGAAATACCCTCATATATATAATATATATTATATGTATATAAATATATATATCTTGAAACTCAATAATAACACAATGATAAAAACCCAAAAGATATGAACACCAGAGATGATGTAGAGATGGCAAATAAGCACAAGAAAATATGCTCAATTTCATTGGTCATTAGGTAGATACAAATTATAACCGTATTGATATACCACCAACATTATCCATTCAAATGTCTAAGATTAAAATGATTAGCCACTTGGGGCCGGCCCGGTGGCGCACTGCTACAGTGCGCCGCTTGGGAGCGCGGCGGCACTCCCGCCGAGGGTTCGGATCCCACATACAGACCGGTTCCCGCTCACTGGCTGAGTGAGGTGCGGGCGCGGCACCGAGGGGTGCGATCCCGTTGCCGGTCCCGGTCCGGTATGGGCGTGACACTGAGGGTTGCAATCCGTTGCCGGACACGAAAAAAAGACCAAAAAAAAGGAAAAAATAAATAAATAAAAAATAAATAAATAAATAAAATGATTAGCCACACCGAGTGCTGGCAAGGATGTACAGCAACGTGGCTCTCACACACTGCTAGTGGGAATGTAAAATAGCACATCCAGCTTGGAAAACAGTCCTGCATTTTCTTTTTTTCTTTTTTCATTTTTTTTCCTCTTTGTCTTTTTTACTGACCGGTAACGGGATCGCAACCCTCGGTGTCGCGCCCGTACCGGGGACCAGCAACGGGATCACAACCCTCAGTGTTGTGCCCGCACCGTGCTCAGCCAGTGAGTGGGAACTGGTCTCCACATGGGATCCGAACCCTCAGCGGGAGCGCCGCCACACTCCCAAGTGGCGCACTCTCCAGTGCGCCACCGGGCCGGCCCCCTGCATTTTCTTTTTTTTTTTTTTTTTTTTTTTTTTTTTTTT